GCCGGGCCAGCCCCAGGGAGTAAAAGAATCGCCTCTTTTCCCAATGGAATTTATTTTAACCTGTACATAACTTGTAATTTTTTGCTAATTCTTTTCTTATTTTATTTCTTCCTTAACAGTATTTTTTTGCATTAGCTATCATGATTGTGAAGAAATAATGTTAATATAAGTATGTAGTGAAGGACCAAAATGGTGTAATTAAGGTTGTATGGTGTATGCTTGGTGAGCAGGGAGGAGGAAGGTTGTGTCCATGTGCCAAACGACCCTGCAGCATCCTGCATCTCGCTGCCGCTGCGCAGGCGGCCCCGGGGGTTCGAGCACTCTGTCCTCACAGCTGGGGCCGCTCCGCTCCCACACAGCCCCGGAGATCGTGCAATCTCTTCCTTGCTCTTCCCCAGCGCAGTTCGTTTTCCTCCCGATTCCTGCAGCGAGGGTCCGAGGCTGCTGCAGGGTCCCGACTCCTCTAGCACTGATCGCAGGGTTGAATCTTCCCACGTTTCGGCCGCTCCGAATTCCTATTTATCTCGTAGCTCTCCTTCGATTGCACTTGAAACGCGTTGCAGCTCAGAGCGGACGCTCAGCTCGTGGTTGGACCGGGGCGGCCGCCGGTTCTGCAGGATGCTCCGAGTCCCGCCGTGCCGGGGCCGGGAGGAGGCTCCGCTCCCCCCTGCGCCGGCCCCGCCGGGATGGGGAGCCCCGGAATGCCGGAGCGCTGCCCCTGCCCCCGCGAGGACGGCGGCCCCGGCCGCTTCTCCGTCGTGTCGAGTGATACTGTGATTAAACCGTTACTGAATGATTCCAAGGTTATTTTTCTCTTTCTTCTGTCATTGATTCTTATTACCACTTTTGGAAGAAGAATGAAAAAGAAAGAAAAAAAAAATTAAGGCAGCTTTGATTTCCAAATGTGCAATTCACATGTGAACAAAGTAATTCTGAGGGTGATTCTCAATGTATTTTACGTTCTCATTGCTCTCTTCAAAGCAAGAGATGCTTTGCCCTGATGTCATTTCCAGCCTGCAGAGATGTAATTTAAAACATATATATATTGTGCTTGCAAGAATCATAAATCTGTGCATCCTATGTCATTCCTTTTCCCATTGTTACAATACAGATTTGATTTAGTTTTTTTTTTTCTTTAGGACTGTATAGTGTTTTTTTAAATCAATTGTAAATGTCTGGTTTTCATATAATGTTTAAAAAACATTGAGAAAGAGGATGGTGCTTGTTCCATATCATTCTTGATTGTATATTGCTTCTGTTATGTTTATAAGTAAACTGTGCATGACTTGTGTTTAGCAGTCATTATTGTGTCTGTTTGTGAAATTTTTATTAAAAAGAAAAAAATTCCGTAGATGCACTTATTGTATATGTGATTAGATTTTGCATCCAGGGCTAGAAGCCTTGAACTGCCAAGGAAGAAAATTAAAAAAAAAAAGAAAAAGTGATGGCAGTTATTAATTAATATGAAATCGCTTTGTCAGGAGCATAATGAAATAAAAGATATGAAGTGTAGAAAATAATTAAAAAAGCGATTTTACAAATTTCATTTTGATGCTTGTGATAAAAGACAAATGTACTTGTGTAGAGAAATTCCTTTAAAATAATGAATAGAAAAAGCTGATTTTGAGGTTAATGCTGTAGAATAGGTATGTATACCAAATGTAATCTTTCCAATGCTACAATGAATTTATACATGAGATTGATATGCAATAAACCTGTGTGCTTTTATAAGCAAGGGTCCCGTGCGCGTTTCTGGGGCGGGCAGCGAGCAGGGCCGTGCCTTGGCGCTGAGGCCGGGTCGGGCACGCGGGGGCTCGCTCCCGTGGTCCCTCGCTCAGCCATTTGCTCGGCCACTTGGCTGCTCGCTTGTTGGCTTGGCCGCTCGCTTGGTCACTTGGCCACTCGCTTGGCTGGTCACTTGGCCGCTCCCTTGCTCACTTGGCCACTCAGTTGGCCGCTCGCTTGTTGGCTTGGCCGCTCGCTTGGTTGCTCGCTTGGTCCTTTGGTCGATTGCTTGGCCAGTCACTTGGTCACTCGGTCACTTGGCCGCTCACTTGGTCGTTTGGTCGCTCCCTTGGCCACTCACTTGGTCACTTGGCCGCTCACTTGGTCACTCACTTGGTCACTTGGTCACTCACTTGTTCGTTTGGTTGCTTACTTGGCCGCTCCCTTGGCCGTTTGCTTGGCCGGTCACTTGGTCGCTCACTTGGTCACTCACTTGGTCGTTTGGTCGCTCCCTTGGCCGCTCCCTTGGCCGGTCACTTGGTCGCTCACTTGGTCATTTGGCCACTCGCTCAGGGCTCAGGACAGGGCCCGGGTGGGCGGCTGCGCAGCCCTGGGCCGTGGCCTCTCCTGCGCTGCCAAGAGCGAGGACAGCCCAGAGGGGGCTTGGGACACACGTCAGGAGCTGCTGGAAAGGCCGGGAGTGTTTCCTGCACAGCGCGAGGTGGGAGCGAGCGGAGCACTGACGAGAGCAGCCGGATGGCTCAGCGGGGCCTGCGCCGCGGGGAGCCCGCGCGGTGCTCATGGCCGGCCTGTGCAGCGGCGCCCCGGGCAGCCGCGGGCCTGGTTACCCGGGGGGACTCCCGGCCAAGCAAGGCCAATAATGGGGCGATTGTCACCGAGGCCCTGAGGAGAGACCGTCGGCTTTCAAGAGACCAGTGCTGACAAGGGGCCTTTGTCCTCCCAAAGGCCCTTGAGATTCACCATAAACGAGCGAAAAAAAAAGCTCCATTTTCCAGGGGGGAAAGGTCTGCGTGGGCGGAGCGGAGGGGCCGGCAGGAAGGTCACAGCGAGCCCCGTTCCCTGGGCAGGGCGGGTCGGCTCCGCCTGGTCCCGGCCCGACCCGGAGCCGGCGGTGCGGAGGGGCCGCCCGTCCAGG